CGGGAACGCTCCCCGGGGAGCCATTCATTCGCCTGTTTTTTATCAGTGAGATGGGGGGGGCGGGGGGCAGGGGGGGATGACCCGCACCAGTGGACACACAGGACCCCTTGGGCATTGAGCCAGCGCCTGGGATTCTGGGACGGCTTCAGGGGACGGAGGCACGGCTCTCCCCATCCAATGAGAACATGCAGCCCCGGCCAGTGTGGCTCAGTGGCTAGAGCGTCGGCCTGCGGGCTGAAGGGTCCCGGGTTCGATTCCGGTCACAGGCACATGCCCCGGTCGCAGGTTACCCGGCCCTGGTCGGGGCGTGTGCAGGAGGCAACCCATCGACGTGTCTCTCTCACATCGATGTTTCTCTCCGTCTCTCCCTCTCCCTCCCACTCTCTCTAATCAATGGGAAAAATATCCCCAGGTAAGGATTCACCAAAAAGAAAAATAAATAAAATTTAAACAGGGGTACCGAGAGGTGGAGGGACTTGCTCACGGGCACACGGCCCTGGAGAGAGGCTGATGTAGGAGCCCGGGTCCCCGCGTCCGTCCACCATTCCTGTCGGGGACGGTGCACTTTGAGGGCGTGAGTGGTGAGACAATTTCACGGGGGGCAAAACCGGCAACATCATTCAATGTCTGCCCGGCCGGCGTGGCCCAGGGGTTGAGCGTCGACCTAGGAGCCAGGCGGTCACGGGTTCAATTCCCGCTCAGGGCACTGGCCCGGATTGGGGGCTGGATCCCCAGTGGGGGGCGGGCAGGAGGCAGCCGGTCTGCGATTCTCTCTCATCACGGATGTTTCTCTCTCTCCCTCTCCCTTCCTCCCTGAGATCCATAAAAGCCTATTTTATCGAAAGCTGGGAAATCAGCAGATGTCAGTGTCTGACCCAAGGAGAGGATCACTGCACGCCGACCTCGCCACCACCAGGGACTGCGGGTGACCGACCGGGACGTCCTCACGCTGCAACACGAGCGACACGTCCCGCACCCGGTGCGATCTACGTGAAAACCGTGTGTCGCAAAGGCTGGGCGCCCCTTTCAAAGCAGCGGCTTCTGGGAGGCGGGGTTCTAGGTTTCTGTATTTCCCCCCAAATTTCTGAAACGCACACTTCACCGGCAACAGGAAAAATAGACCCCTCTCTGTTTGCAGTTTTTAAAAATGCAGCCGGGGAGCAGCCCCCGTGCCTTCTATGGGGCTTTTCGGGGGGATCCTCCTCACCCCTGTTCACAATGGCCCCCTGGAGGGGCTTGGGTAGGGGGGGACGTCCTCGCTGGGGGCCCCCCAGGGCCAGTGCACGGGCCGGTTGGCATCTGATGAGCAGAGGGCCCCCGAAAAGGAGGCCACGGTCGTGTCACGCTGGAGCCCGGGGAGGTGCCCGGCCCATAGTCACCGCGTTCCCCAAACTCGCCCCCCGCTGGAACCCCTGGGGCACCCCGAGCGTGTCACCCTGACGCGCGGGTGGGAGCAGGCGAGGCCAAGGGGGGCTTTCTCCGCCCCCAGGGGGACCGCGTCCCCTCCCGTGTGGACGGGCTGAGCGCCCGGTGCCCGGGGACCCAGCGGCCACCCGCCCCCATCAATCATCCAGGTGCTGCTCCTCCCAGGTGGACGTGGGGATGGCGCTGTACGGGTCCATGATGACCTTGGCGCAGCGGATGATCATGACCACCAGGAAGAGGCAGAGGAAGACGAAGCAGGCCAGGGTCAGTCCTTTGTCCACGTCCACGTAGACGGGCTCGGGCGTGGGCTCCTCCATCGCGGGCCGGCGGCGGGGGGCTCCTCCTCCGGCTGCTGGGGGCCTGGGACCATCTTCCAGCCCTGCCAGCGAGATCGTGGTCATCATGTCATTATTATTATTTTTTTTAAATATATCTTACTGATTTTTTACAGAGAGGAAGGGAGAGGGACAGAGAGCTAGAAACATCGATGAGAGAGAAACATCCATCAGCTGCCTCCTGCACGCCCCCTACTGGGGAGGTGCCCGCAACCAAGGTCCATGTCCTTGACCGGAATCGAACCTGGGACCCTTCAGTCTGCAGGCCGACGCTCTATCCACTGAGCCACACTGGTCAGGGCTTATCATTTCATTATTATTTTTTAAATTATTTAAATGGTTTTATTGATTCAGAGAGAGGAAGGGAGAAGGAGAGAGAGAAACTTCCATGATGAGAGAGAATCATGGATCAGCCGCCTCCTGCAGGCCCCCCACTGGGGATTGGAGCCCACAACCCGGGCATCTGCCCTGATTGGGAATCGAACCGTGACCTCCTGGTTCATAGGTTGAGGCTCACTGAGCCACACCGGTTGGGCTTTTATTATTTAACTAGAGGCCCGGTGCACAAAATTCATGCACTCGGGGGGCGGGAGCCCTCAGCCCAGCCTGCACCCTTTCGCAGTCCGGGAGCCCTCGGGGGATGTCCAACTGCCTCAGAGACAGGAAAGGCTCCTGCCACGGCTACTGCCCTCACCTGCAGTGAGCCAGCTCAGGGCTTCTGGCTGAGCGGCGCTCCCCCTGTGAGAGCCCACTGACCACCAGGGGGCAGCTCCTGTGCTGCGCGCCTGCCCCCTGGTGGTCAGTGTGCGTCATAGCAACCGGTCATTCCACCATTCGGTCAATTTACATCTTAGCCTTTTATTAGATAGGATAGGAAAAGGGTGAAAGAAAGATTGAATAGTATAGCTTTGTCCATTTAACGTCCTCCAGGCCTGTTTTTGGTTGACTGATGGGGGAAGGCCCTGGTCAAGAGACGCATGACCACTAAGGTCTGAGAAGTATGGGAAGGTGCCTACCTGTCAATCACCCCTGGAAACAAATTAGCGGCCAAAAGAGGCTGTGGCCACTGCCAGGGCGGGGAACCTGAGTATTTCAACTTCTGAGTGAAGGAGGGTGCTTTTGGCTCTTGGCCCTTGGCCTTTGACCCTCTGGGGACGCGTGTCGCAGGGGTCACGTTCCCCTGCACTCACATGGCCCACGGCCTTGAGGGACCTACACCGGGGACTGACGTACATTTTAATTAGTCTGAATACTGAACTGGACCCGGCTGCAACGTGGAACACAAGCTTTGGACCCGCGTCCTCCTGTGGGCAGGGAGGGTCGTGCCCACTGGCCTGAGGCTGGGGGAGGGCCCCCACTCCCCTCCTCATCTGCCTCGGCCCCTCGGAATGACAGCCTGCTGCGCCCCCTGCCCCCCGGAGCCAAGTGCGAAATCCTGGCGCACCGAGGTGGTCCACGTTGCATTTCCCGTGCCCTCAATTATGTCATCCTCACGACAGCCCTGGGGGCAGGTCAGCCAGGCGTCACTCTGGCCGTGTGATAGCTGTGGAAACTGAGGCCCAGGAAGGGGAAATGAGTCATCCCCAGGCCCACCTCCCGAGCCGTGGGCCTTGCAGGCCCCGCCCTCCTCTGGTGGAAGCAGTGGATCCGGCGCCCCCACCCGCTCCGAAGCGTCGGGAGGACACCTGGGGGCCGACTTCTGCTTGGCAACCTGGCCTACCTGTAACCACGGGGGACCATGCTGTTTCCCCTCCCACACCTCGTCTTCCTCCTCACCTGTCCCCGGAGGGCACTGACCTGCTGGTCCGGACTGGTCACTCAATTGGAGGACTCAGCAAAATCAATTGGATGACTCAGCAAAAATCACTTGCATGACTCAGCAAAATCAATCAGCTGACTCAGCAAAATCAATTGCATGACTCAGCAAAATCAATTGCGTGACTCAGCAAAAATCAATTGCAGGACTCAGCTAAAATCAACTGGATAACTCAAGACAGAAGCGAGAGTGCAGAGAAAACAGAGATTCCACAGGGAAGGGAGAGATTGGAGTAAATAGATTCAGGAGAGAAGCAGGAGATGAGAGAAAACGGAGTCACCTCTTCATAAGGGCCACGGGGTGGGCTGGCACCCTGGGCGGGGCTGCTGCAGGCGG